GAGGGAGGGTGAAGCTGAATCCAGCGGCACTTTTACTCTACCTCTCTCTGCCGGAGTCCAAGGCTCGCAAAAGCAAGGCGTCTGTTTTGCTAGGTGTATTTATTTGTTTATTTAGAAAAAAAAAAAGCCTTTCCTTTTGCTTAGGCGTGAGGAACCACCAAATCTTTCAGAGTCTTTTTGGGGAAATCAGGATTCCAGTGAGTGTTCACAGCTTAGCCCCGCATCACAGTTCAGGATTTTCCTCCCAATGTTCTCTATTCACCAAGTCCAGCCCCGGTGTGCAGAGTTAATTGTGCAGTCCGTTGTGGAGGGTTTTTTTTTTCCTCCTTCTCTGTCACGGGTGGTCTCTTTCAATCTGGTGTCTGTCAGGATCAGCTCGCAGCCTGCAAAAGACGTGCGGATTTCAAAGCAAATAAAGCCATCTCCGCAAGCCACGCATCGAAGGAGAAGAGAGACGGGAATTCAACAGTTGGAGTAACGTCTCCCCAGCCGCCCTCCGCCGCTGCCGCAGCCACCGGCTCGCAGTCCCAGCTCTCTCCCCAGCGCCTCTTGCTGACTGACTATTCACCTCACGCCGCCGCTTAAACATTGATACTGATTCCCTGCCAGCCAATCCGCGCGAGGGGCAAAGCCCCGCCTCCTCGGCCCGCGACCAATGGGAGGCAGAGAGGAGACTGGCGGGGGCGGAGCCAGGAACCCCAGTGCCTCGGAGTCATTGATTAGATCAGTTAGAAGGGAGACCGGCGGGGCTAGCCCAGCCCTGAGCTCCGCAGTCGCGGCGGTGCCCCAGCCTCGCCGCCGGGTCTCCGAGTGTGGGACTATGGGGAAGGTCCTTCACCGCCTTCCTCTGGAAAGGAGAGAAGGCACAGGGGAAAAATCAAAAAAAGTTAGGCAGCGGGATGTATGCAGGAACCCGGATCGCAGCTTGCTTGCAAAATAAGGTAGCTGCGGTCCTCCTGGTGGGTTTCTGCACACACACACACACACACACACACACACACACACACACACCACATACACACACTGGCACCACGGACACACCCATAGCAAGGGAGGCGTGGATCTCTGGCTGCGTGTGGACCCGTCTGAATGAGATGATGTGTATTTCAGTGAGTGTGTGTGAATGTGAGGGCGCTCGCGCGCCCGCTTCTGCCAGCGCTGGTGCAAACACACCAGAAGCAACAGCAATCAATATGTAACTTCATCCTCTGAGAAAAATCAGCTGTCCCCAGGCACCCATGAAAGGGAAGTCCCTTGATTATGAAAGTGTTTCAGAAGACTAGTCGAAGCCCAGTGAAAGGGAGGTCGCCTCTCCCTTGAGGAAAAAAAAAAAAAAGTGTCTCTCCTTTAAGGAGGAAGGCTCGCTGTCAATTCAAGCTTTGTAGCTTGTTAAAACCCAAATCTGGCTAAATAATATTCAGGGCTCTACCCTTTCCAGTCACCCCCTCTCAGCCCAGATTCAAGGTAAAGCTGACACGCGCCCACCAACAGGCAGTAGGTTGGATGTTTTATTAGCCTCAGGCTGGCTGTTAAAGTTCTATAAGGCAATTTGAATTTTATCTCCTTAAGACCAAATTTCAGTGTTAATAACCACATTTGCCAAAACTCTTATGCATAGAAGCTGAATCATAAACATGAAGGCAGATCAATGGGAGATCTGTTAAGACTCCTGTTTTGTAAATAACACCACCATCACCAGGATCATACATGCACAGGCACACACAGAAGGTTTAGGGGGAGGGGCTGGAAAGAGAAAGAAAGAGAGAGGGAAAGAGGCTCCTGATTCATTTACTTCTCCAACTTCAATACCTAATCTCAGAGATTCTTTCTTCCCAGACTATTATCACAAACATGCACTAGTGAGGACTGGTTTGCTAGTGACCCAGCAGTTCTTGGAAAGAGTTAAGAAGAAGAAAGAAATTGAAGTATTGAAATAGAAAAGGTGAGTGTTTTGATTGCTATAGTATTGATCACAATTCATAAATACTAAAGTTAAGTTGCCATTTATAAATTGTGAATGACTAAAGTACAAGTCTCCAACATGAATCATTCAAGATTCAAAGAAAATCAAATCCAGACTTACAAGAAAGTTCTGATGATTATTGTTGGGGTAATTGCTTGAACATTCAGGTTTTTTTTTTAAGTTATTTATTTCCCAGTGAATTCAATGATATAAACCTACAGTCTGAATTTGCAGTCAGATCTGGATCCAAAATTCACCATTCTCTTAAGAGACTATTTTTAACCATTGAAATTTTTAAGGAGGAGCTTTTAACAGCCAGACCTCCAAATCCTAAAATGGCTTTGTATTTTCTCTAATAAGTAGTTTGCCATGCCTCTACCTTTGTTAACCAAGGGAGCTAAAGCTTTGTAGAAATCTGGATTGTGTTGGGCTCAGTGGGTGTTTAACCATGCTGCCCTGTGAAACCTGATCTTAACATCTCTTTGATGTTGGTGCCTCTGTCCCAACTTATATACCTTGAAAGGTGAGGCTTTGAAGCTTTAAAAGTTGCAGCTAACTTAAGTAAAGAGTAGTGATTATACACTCACTTATTAATCATTACTTTTTTAATACAACAAACCTATGGCTTTTTTGCATTGCATACTAATTCAAGGAAAGTCATGAAATATGCTTACATGAGGTTTATGAGAAAGCAAGAACAAGAGAATGAAAAAAATTCCAAGGAAAGGGTAGTGTGGTTTATTGATTAGCCTTGATTATAAACCTTGTCTCTCTTGTGCAATAAGGTGAGAGACAAGGTTTCTGAGACCAGTGATAGGAAACATCCTCCTAGACATGAATCTGCCCACACCCTTCCAGAGTAATTATGTCACACCTCCCTCTAGTGTATAGAAAGAGAACTACCACGCTTATGTTGCATACCACAGGGCTTCTGCCAAACGAGTAAAATAGAACTGTAGCAGATAACTGACTTATATTTTATGTAATTTGTAGTATTGAGTTCTGTTGTTAAACTAACATATACCCCAAATAATTCATTTTTATCATTATGTCTCATCCTTATTTTATTTTTAAAGGAAATGGAATCAACTAGTACTTCTAATTCTTTGGCTTCCCTTTAACCAGACACAATTTTTAAAATTATAATCAGTACTTATTTGTAGCCATCTCATAAGTTCTACCTCTTTTCACCAAATATATTTTTTCTGTTTACAACATAGTTATTGGGGTGTTTCTTTTAGACTATGCATAAAGTATTGAGGTCATTTTTCCAAAACAGAAATGATGTAAATATGGTCAAACAGTTCAAAAATCCTATTGGTTTTTGTACTGTAGTAAATAGGCTATGGACATATAAGATCCAGTTAAGGAATATAGAAGAATGTAGTGCTTTTCATAGCTAATGATACCTACAAACTCACAGTTCTCAAGAAGAAACTGGTTCATAATCATGATTTATTATCATAAATGATAATCTTAACATAAAATAAAAATACTATATTCCTTTTTATTTACACATATGTTGAATAGCTAAAGATCTTGTATGATTTAATAAAGATATGTAAGTATGCACACTCATTGAGAAAATTTACTTGGAAAGACTTCTATGAACCTAAAATTTTTAATTAATAAAATATTATGCTGTCTAAGTGAGTTTTAAAATAAATTGATATATTGAAATAGTTTCAAACAGAAGTATTAATGCCTATGTTTTTAGGCTGATAAAGACTGATTAATATTGCTACATTGAATTAATAATTGAATTAATATTATTAAGGAGTAATCTTAAAGATGCCTTTTAAATGGAATCTTATGTTATTGAAGTTATTTAGCTTACTCTCTGAGAGATTATGTAAAATTCATATTCACTAGCTGCAGTTATAGTTCAGAGAGTTTATGCTTAGAGCTATAATGGCAGCAGTTATAATATTCTTCTAAAACTTGTCCTGCTTGCCATGTTCTTGAGTTCAATCAAATGCAGTTCTTAAGAGATTTTTGATGCTATTTAAACACAGCCACTGTTTCTATGAATGGAAAATTCTTCATTCTTTCCTTCCCCATCATTTTTACCATTATTTTACTACATGGTTTCATATTTTTAACAGAGAATTTTTAAAGATAAATTTATTAACTAAACTGTTTTAACTATAATAAGTACCAACAGTTTCCATATCATATTTAAATCCTCAAGTGTATGATAGGATTTCATTCACAGCTAGTTCTTCTAGTTTTCATTGTCTTTTACAGGTTTCAGTGGCTCACCTCTAACACACCGCTACTGGCTACTTGCTGACGTGAAATCAAAAATGTCCTTTATAACAAATTCACACTTCTAATTGGATAATTACTAAAACCTATATTTCGTATTTATGATAAAAATGAATTTAATAAAGCAACACAAATTAATTAACATGTTAAGCTCCAGGGGAAATGTTTATAAATTTAAAAGTTTTTAAGAACTCCTACCTTACAACAAAATAGAAAAAGTGTAAAATATCTCCAAAATTAATCACTATTTTAATAGAATATTATTTTACTAATCGTATTTAAATTATTAAATCTTGCTATTAGAAAATATTTGTCAAGAAATAATACACTTTAATTTTTCTATATTTATGTATATGTTATGTTACAATTTGATAAC